CATTTTGAGAAAATTATTACATTATGAACATTTTATTACAATAATAATGTAATACTTATTACATTATGTGCAATTTGTACATTATGTGCAGCTATTACATTATGAGTTGCTACAGTGTTGTTATTGTTAACTAAAACTAATAAAATGAGTTTGATCAAATTAATTAAAATAAAGCTGAAATAACATAAATATTAGATGAAAAGCAAAATTAGAAATGGCAACTAATGGAAATGCTTAAATACTAAAGTTACTAAACAAATAAAATTAAAGAAAAATAAAGCTAAATCGAAATATTTAACACTAATAAAGATGACAAAAGCATATAAATTTAATACAAATAAAATTGAAATGAAAACTGAAAATATATAAATTAAAGTTAATACAAAATATTAATAAATAGTATAATATTATATAAATAACACTGTAACTGATATCACCTCTGCACCAGGGTCTACTTAATAAAACTGAAAATATAATTTTGGAAAGATCAAGGTTAAAATGGCTTACCAGGCCTCCACAGATATAGCCCTTATGACCTAAAGTAGTACTGGCATGTGAGGACCGGGGCTCTGGAGGCTGGCCCTGCAAGAAGTGGAACCAGACAGCAGGCAAACAAGATAATATATACTGTATATAATACAGTATATACAATATATACTGTATATAATATAATGTATAATGTCATCTTCTATGGCTGAGATAAAAAATTAAAAAAAAAACATATTAGCAATATCCTATTTTTTGCTCTTTTACCTGGGTTTGTGGTTCAGTCCATGTGGCTGTCACAGGTTCAAACATATGCACCTCATTATTCCAACCCCAAAACTGGAAAATATCTGACCCGATTGTTGCCTGTAAAAAAAAAACCTCTAAATGAAGTCCAGTAACATATAGCTGTATATTTTTTTTCCCAAGATCTTTCTGCTCACCCGGCTAGTCTCGTCAACCATAAAGCTCTTGGAGTTGTTGACCTCTCTGACTGTTTTGCAACCATATCCACCAAAGTAGATGAGCCTATGAATGACACCAGTTGTTATAAAACTGCGACATAATAGCAACAGCTTCTTATTATGTAGCAATTATATGCATCATTAGCATTTTCATTACTGTACATGGCACTAACAGACCTGCAACCCAATTTGCTGTTGCAACTGACCAGTTTCAAAACATGGTCCTTTAATTTAGAGACTGTATTCATACTATAAAAATCTGAGGAGGACATTATGCAACCACTGTATTGTATATCTGTATAGACAGTGCAGTGAGCTTGTTTTTCCTTACCTGTTTTTGTAGACCCAGCATGAATGTCTGACCCTAGGAGAGGGTGTCCCTCCCACTGTGTCTGTCACTTTTTTCCAGCTATATTCCACACCCAACAGGTCAACACAATACATCTGTCATAACACCAGCAACATAGTCTTAATTATAAGCAGTTAGAATTTATTCCCCACAGAAATGCTACCAGCAGCTTAAAAACAGAAGCCCATAAACCTGTTTTTCACATTTCTTAAATATTCTACAGGGTATTTGAATTGCATTTTAGGTGGATGTGTCTGAAATGCTAGGATGTTGGAAGATCAAAAAGTTGGAATAAAAAAAAAAAAACTTTATAACATAAAATTTGTATGGAGGGGAGTGTAATGATATTATGTCTTTGTTCTCTCTGTATGTCAGTGGCAGAGAAACAAGAAAAACATTCACCAGAAATTTTGGGGAGGTGGAGTTTCCTTTCAACAGAGGCTTTGTTCAGTCATATTTGCTTAGAATAATAATTGTATTACACTACAGTATATCCAACTTCCTATAGTGTGCACAGATCAAAAACTATTTGTGGTGGATATCTACATTTGCGAAACAAAATCTCACTGAGATGTACACAGTTTTCCACAGTCTTATCTCAGTATGAGGGAAATGTTGGTACATTCAGAGCACATTATCACAGTATCACATTCCCTATCAGGTTACAGACAATATATGCAATTATGTTGGACGCATACTGGACAAACCTGTTAATCTGCCTATGAGTGTGTACTTGGAGATGTGATGCTTTATGATGATAACATTCCTAAAGCAGCTCACCGTGTTGGTGTGGCCATTGATGTCACATCCCCCAAAAATGTAAAGCATGCCCTGAAGATATGCACCACAAGCATGTGAAAGAACAGGAGGAACCTCTCCGCCCATATGTCTCAGAGACCTGCCGCACACAGACATGCAATTGCAAAACTCAGGGGAAAATGTTGTTTGGGGTTGACAATGGTAGTCTCAGGTAACTCTGGAACTCTGGAACTACCCACTGTTTTAATGCAATAACGTACAGCAGGTGGAATAAACAAAACACTTAATATATGCCACGAAAGTGCAGTTTGCAGAAGGAACACCTATTGCTAGGGATGCCAGCTATTTTGGAAATATAATTTCTTGGTAAAACAATTAGACCCAAGTTGTTCTTAAATAAAACATGGCATCTCACCAAACTCCACTCTCCATGTCATAAAGCCAGATCTCATCACTGGGCACAAAGGTTTCTTGTCCATCCACACACTAAATAAAAAATAAAAAAACAAAAAAACATCAAGTTCTCTAATCCCAACCAGACAAACTACACTAAACACTCAGTTTACACTTGTTGTCCATCCGCACACTAAAATAAATAAATTAATAATAAATATAATAATAATAATAAAATTAAACCAGCACTTTTTTCTTCACATTTTCTCTGTAATCCAAACAAGAGCAAAACAAAGTTATCTAATCCCAACCAGACAAACTTCTAATACTCAGCAACTATTTTGATAGTTCTACTCACTTTTTTACGTTTAAGTGGATGGAAAATATTCGCTTCGCGGTTTAATATTTTTCTGTAGCGCTCACCTGGCAGCCCCCCCAGACGTACAGGTTGTGTCCCTCCAGGAAGGAGATGTGGTCGCTCCGCGGTGAAACCGGTGAACGCTGCGCTGTGACAACCGCCGGTTCTTCTATACTCCCCATTACTGAAGCGCTCAACTGCTGCTGTTCAGCACCTGAGAGCATAGACATCAGCTCCCGTTGTTTACACTAAGACGACAAACAGGAAACAGATCAAAGATACTGGCTTGAAGTTGGGGGCTGGACTCTAAAACCAACTTGAAAACGACGGAGGTAGTTAAAAACTGAAATTTTGATTCATTCTGTGGACTTTTTATTCACCAAGGGATTCGTTCACTGACCAGTTCAGTAACTCTTTCCGCAGGTTGCGTCGTAGGTGGCGTAGATATAGTCGACACATTGCTCCGGGTCTGGCTGTGAAATGTACGGTATTATAATTACTAGTGCAGTGCCTTAGCATAAAGTCGGCATATATGCTGGTGAATTAGGATTGGTTTTCACAGTATAATCAACATTACACAAATAGGCCTACACTAAAACTAACACTATACTATTAAGAATAATACAATAATTAAATATAAAACATTAGATAAACGTACAAAACAAAAATAAGTTATGCACTTCTGCATTTAACCAGTAGATGTCACCATTTCACAAGACAGGTAAATATGCCCATAAGGCGCTATTATGTTCAAAATTACATTAACATTTGTGCATTTGGTAGACACTGTTATACGATTTAACTTGAATTGAATTTGGCATATACATCTTATTAGTTCATGCACCCATGGCCTTGGTGTTCCTAATCACCATGGTGTGCTGAGACACATGAACATTAAAATGAGAAGTTGATGTCCTTGCTTCTCATCAACCAAAGTTTGACTGCTAATTCATCTTAAATTCTGGATTGGTTTAAGATAAAATGATACAATTAGTGATACTCTAGGGAGATTGTGTTATCATCCTCATATGAGGGAGGCGATATCATCTATAGCAGGGGTCTCCAACCTTTTTGTGAGTGTGGGCTCCCTGAAGGGATAAAATAGTCTCAAGGACTACTTGTTTGATATACTCCAATACAGTATATATATAATTTTCTTTCCCTCCAATATCTTGATAGATTCCATGTTTTATGATTCAGTACAAATTTATCATTAAAAATGGTGTCTAGTGAAATTAATTAATAAAACGTTAACAATTTAATCAATCTTTTAAAATGTAATCAAATGAAAATCAATTTACAACAAAACATTGCATTTTTATTTTATTTTATCAGACATGATGCTGCACAACAGAACTGTATAGATAATAATAAAAAATAACTTGGTTGTATGATATTCATTAAAAATAATAATATTATTATTACTTTGAGAATTGCATTGTAGTATACAGTAGTAATATATTCAGTCATATCATTACACGTTAAACCGGACTTTTATTTTGACGGTTTGTCTTGAAGGTCTTTAAGTTTTAGTTTCAGCGTGTATTTGACGGCATTTTTTCTCAAACGAAACTGCATAAAGCTGATGAAGTGACTCTCAGAGTAGCTCTGAAGATGAAGTGCATGTTTTCATGTCCTCATATATTGAGACGCAGACGCTGAAAACACCGCGAGTCACGTGTGTTTGTGTTTGAATTTGTGTATCAGATGAAACTTCCACGCAGACACACAGAACATGTAGACTTATTAGCGACATGCACCGACTGGTTGCTGTAACATGTATTTCTGTTGTGATTAATCCATATTGAGTAAAAATGTCGAGAGCTTAACATAATTAACATAAATTTTATCATAATTTCGATATGATATCATTTATCGCCCGACGCTAATTTAAGCTATTTATAGAACGTGCTTGGCGGGCGACTCAGAGACTCCATGCGGGTTACCAGTTGCCCACGGGCACCACGTTGGTGACCACTGATCTATAGTCTACCATTGTTGTGTTTTTCTAAACAGGGTAATGTACGGTGGCCGAGAGAGCTCAACGCGCTGCAATTTAAGAAGACACATGCAAATTGAAAAAACACCAGCAAATTAAGAAAACATCTTCATCAGTTTGACAACACAGGCGCTGCAAATCCTCACAACACATGCAAATGAAGAAACGCGCTGCAAATCCTCACAGTACATGCAAGTATACTAATTTATTAACAATTTGAACCAGGTTATAGTATGACATACACAACTAAACACAAATACATTGCACATGTTTTTTTTTCAACATCAACATAGACCTCCCAATACGACCTAACTGTTAAAAGGGGTATGCTTAAATGCCCGTCCAATGCCAGTTGTTCTTCTTGTTCTTTTACTAACTTGATTGGTGCACAAATTGAGATTAAATACACACACCTTTAAAACTGTATCAAACAGTTAACTTGTTTATTTCTTTGTTAATGCTGATACATTTTTATGTTTAAGATTATATTTGTGGATTCCTGCATTCCTAATGACATTGTTCTCTTTTCCCTTCAGGCTCAGGAACCGTATTAGATGAAATCACAGAGGCAGGCCTAATCCATAAATATTTCTCAGAGGGCCACACATATGAAGTGATCCTTGATTTTCTTGGAACAATGCATAACATTTTCATGAGTCTGAGCACCTTAAAGAGAAGACTAAGGAATGCAGGCCTAACAAGGAGGACAGACTATACTCCCATTGGCACTGTGAATGCAGCTATAACACATGAACTGACAGGCTCAGGTCAGCTTTTAGGTTACAGAGCTCTGTGGCAGACATTGCGACAGAAGTATTTCTTGACAGTTAAAAGGGATGATGTAATGCATGCAATTCATAGACTGGACCCATCTGGAGTTCAGCTTCGCCATAGACACAGGTTTGTCCGAAGAGGATACTTTACAGCAGGACCAAACCAAGTGTGGCATGTCGATGGGTATGATAAGCTCAAACCATTTGGTGTTGCCATCAGTGGCTGCATTGATGGGTTTTCTAGGAAAGTGATGTGGCTCAGAAGTGGCAGCTCTAATAACGACCCAGGGATAATTGCTTACCATTACCTGCAGTGTGTATCAGAGTTTGGAGTTCCAGCACGCCTTCGCACAGACTGTGGGACAGAAAATGGCACTATGGTAGCCATTCACTGTGCATTAAGAGCACAGTATACAGATGACTTTGCAGGAGCCCTCATTCACATGTATGGCACTTCAACTGCAAATCAGCGAATCGAAAGTTGGTGGTCCTTTTTTAGAAAGCAAAGGTACAGGCCTTTTAAGATTAATTCCAAAACAAAAATGTTATCAAATGTACTATTTAATCACTTAGTTTTTGTGTGTTGTCACATCAGAGGGTTTCAGCTGTCAACAACATGTATTATATGAGAATAACACTAGACTAAAAATGTAATGCAAATCTTTTTTTCTGATGCTATAAAGTTTTCTTTACATTGATATTTAAAATATTTTTTTTTAAAATAGGAATGCAGTTTAAATAATACCTTTTGTTGGAAACATTTGTTTTAGAAATCATTTCCATATAACTTTTATTCAGCACTTAAGTAAAACATTGTGTATACTTTCATTCCATCATTAGGACTCAGTTCTGGATTGATCTCTTCAGTGACCTGAGAGAGAGGCACCTTTTCAATGGCAGCCATGAGCATAAGTGCCTTCTACGGTATGTCTTCTTGAGCATCGTGCAGAAAGACCTTGATGAGTACAAAGAACTTTGGAATAACCACACCATCCGACCTGTTTGTCAGTCTTCTTGTCATTCTGGTAAACCAGAAGTCATGTATCACCTGCCTCACAGGTTTGTATTTAATCCATGCAGTATGTGACCATGTTCAGTAAATATCAGATTTAATTTTCACTTAAGTTTAATCATTAATGATCAAAGAAAATGTGATTGATTGCCTATATCTGACACAGAAGTGTATAGTGGAATATCCCTCACTTGACGATAATTGTATTTTAAATCAGAACTAGATCATTGTTTAAAAAAAATTTGCAGATATTCTTAGACAAAAAACATTTACAATGCATGAAGCAAAAAGGGGGATTTTACTGATTCACAAAGTGTCTTTGTAGTAGAAGCAAATATAATTACCATATTGGACAACAGATGTTGTCAACATTGAGGGTCAACCTTTGGCTTATGTCTTCAATTTCAAAACTATTTAAAAATTGCGGCGTTGGGTTATAATCTTAGAATTTGTATGTTTTATTATACATTTTTGTAATGAGTTGACTCAAAGTGGTTTGATTTCTGATTGGCCTTAGGTTTGATGCAAGGGACTGTGGATTCCCAGTGTCACAGGAAGTTATTCAAGAGTTTGAGGACATTCGGCCACCACAGCGCAGTCTTTGTGGTGATAGTAATCTCCAAGTTCATTTTTCGGATTTGCAGAGACAGAGTGGGCTTTCTCCACCAGCCAACTGGATAACTGCTGTTGAAAATTACATAACACTTAAAAATATGTCCAGATTAAATTCATCAGTTCAAAGAACAACTTTATTTGCTCACTGCATATGTCATCAGTGTTTTACTGAACATCAATCATTTAAACTGTGTATAACAAAATCTTAAATTTTGTGCAAAGAACATGCCATGCATTACTGTTGTTAAAGGGGTCATATGATGCGATTTCAAGTTTTCCTTTCTCTTTGGAGTGTTACAAGCTGATTGTGCATAGATAAGATCCCTGAAGTTGCAAAGACTAAAGTCTCAAAACCAAAGAGATATTCTTTATCAAAGTTAAGACTCTGCCACGCCCCCCTAAAATGGCTCGTTCTAACACGCCCCCACATATCTACCTCACTATGTGGAAATATTTGCATAATGCCGCCCAAATGTGCACGCAAAGAAAGAAGGCGTGGTTTCAGTAACTGCAGTTAGTGTTGAAGCAGCCATGTCAGGGAGACGCTGTGTGTTTCTAGGCGAAAGCAAAAGCACTTTATTTGGCCTTCCGAAAGTAGATGCATTTAGGAATCTTTAAGATCACTTACAACAGAACAGCAATGCATTTTATGGACGACCGTTTCGTGAACCTAGGAGAGGAGGTAATTCTGACTTTGCTATGACAATCTGGCGCTTCTGAATCAGCTACTGTTTTGTTATTAGTTTAAGTATTTGCTATTGACTGCTCAAATGCGGAGTTTTGCCCATCGTGTGTGTGCGCGAGCGAGCGAGAGGGAGAGAGAGAGCGAGGGAGAGAGAGGGCGAGAGAGGGAGAGGGCGAGAGAGCGGGAGAGAGAGAGCGCGAGAGAGCGAGAGCGCGCGAGAGAGAGAGAGAGAGAGCGCGAGAGAGAGAGAGAGAGAGAGCGAGAGAGAGAGGGTGAAAATAAAATCTATATTATTCCTCAAAACTCACCAGTATATCAGTACAGTCTATTAACCTGAGTGTTCCTTGTTTAACTGAGTGACTTGAAATGTGTAACTATAACATAGGTGCACATTAAAACATACATTATACAAACATGGCTGCATTTCAAAATACGAAAAAAACAAAGTGGCACATTTTCATTTAAATAAAGCTGTTTACTCGGACCTAAACCCCAGAATATCAGCCAAAGGTATTTCGCTTCAAGGAAGCCCAAACCCAGGGGAGTTTTGCATGCCATAATCCATGGCTGCTTGAAGCTCTTCATAACTGGGTAAGATTGGAATTTTGATTGTATTTATACATACATTTGCCATGGGAAATTGAGAGCTCTTCTGAAAAAATTAAGATATTGTTTTTGCCAGTTGATGAAAGTAATTTCTTTAAATGTTTTGTAATCCCAGCCTAACAAATTAAAGTAATTTCTTTACATTTTTTGTAATCCCAGCCTAACAAATTACCTCAAGAAGGGCCTTCTTGACCTCATCATCAGGTATGTCTTCAATTGGGGCCTCAATTGTCTTTACTTTACCAATTAGGTAAAGGAAGAAGTTTGGGGAAAGACAAAAAGGCCCTGGACCGCCATGGACAATGAACACTGCAATCATTCTTCCAATGTGGAAATATTCATTGTCTTCTGCAGCTAAAAATGCCAATATAGCAATGTTAGGACACTCTGATTTACAACATTGTAAAAACCTCACAAAAAGTATTACCTTTACTATCAAATGAGAGGTATTTGGCATTGTCTTTGCCTTCAAATACTCTCCTTGTTTTGATGGTGTCCATCAACAGAGTCAGAAATTCTCGAGTAGGCCCCCTGCTGTCCAAAGCCTCTTCCATCAGCCCAGCATCATCTGTGAATTTCACCATCAAGCTGCAGGTGGGGTCAAATGAGGATCGCCTGAAACCTCTTAAGGCACCATCCCAGACATTCGCCCGGTTAATGTTAAATCTGCTACAGGATGTTTTGTTAAGATTATGTGCCAGATTTGACACTATGTCTGCAGCCGTCAGCCCATCATGTCCATCACTGTAAAATGATAATAAAAAAAAACAGTCCACAGACAGCAAGAAACTATTAACACTGCAACTTCTTATTTTTGTGAATTATTTAAATTTACATTTTAGTTAGTTTTTTTAGTATTTTATGGGCCCTTTATAATGAGTAAGCTATACAACACTGCTCAAAAATAATAAGCATAATTTGGACATCACAACTTTAGTAACAGATTTTGAGAGTCCTCCCACAAAGTCACATTTTTCTGGTAAAGAACAAGGTGCTGATAGTACTTCTTATGTGATAGTACCTGTCTTTCTCTGGCAGTTTCTCTACTTCCTCAAGATCCGAGGAACTGCTGTCGATGGTGATAGGTGCATAGATATGGGTATATGTACTGTGGAAGGGAGGTACAAGAACAACAATAACACAATGTGCTGTGAGGATTTGCAGCGCGTTTCTTCATTTGCATCAGAGCCATAGAGAGAGAGAGTTGCGACAACTCCATTCACTCCAATGGAGCAGTTTTTTACAGCAATGGCGGATCGTGGAGCCGCTCAATAGTTCCCGGAAGTTAGCGCTCATACTATCAGCGCCA